GCTACTTCGTGCTGCGGGCCGAGAGCCGCCTGGCCCCCGCCCGGCTGGAGTACTACGACAGCGAGAAGAAGTTCAAGAGCAGCCTGCGGGCGGCGGGGGCCGGCGGGGCCGCCTCGCTCTGCTGCCCGCCACCCAAGCGGGTCATCCCCCTGTACCAGTGCTTCACCGTCAGCCGGCGGGCGGGAGCGACACACACGTTTTTGGGCGGACGCCAAGCACAAGCACATCATCGCCCTGTACACCAAGGACGAGTACTTCGCCATGCTGGCCGAGAACGAGGCCGAGCAGGAGGCCTGGTACCAGGCGATCAGCGAGCTCATGAGCCAGAGCAAGAGGGGCTTCCTGGAGCAGGAGGACCACGCCGATCAGCAGGTGGATGAGGATGAGGAGCACTACGGGGCCGCCCTGAGGCCTGGCGCCGTCTTCAAGGAGGTGTGGCAGGTCAACGTTAAGCCCAAAGGGTTGGGACAGACAAAAAACCTCACCGGAGTGTATAGGCTGTGCCTCTCCAGCAAGGCCATCCACCTCGTCAAGCTGAACTCCGAGGTGCCCTCCGTCCACTTGCAGCTGATGAACATTCGCCGCTGCGGACACTCCGAGAACTTCTTCTTCATCGAAGTGGGCAGATCAGCCTCTATCGGGCCCGGAGAACTCTGGATGCAAGTGGATGATTCGGTGGTTGCCCAGAATATGCACGAGACTTTCCTGGATACCATGAAAGCTCTAAAGGCCTTTGCAGAGTTCAGGCCCCGAAGCAAGAGCCAGTCTTCTGGTGGTGGTAGTGGCACCAATCCTATCTCCTTTATCACCACTAGGAGGCACTTGGGCAACCTGCCCCCCAGCCAGACGGGCTTGCAGAGAAGATCTAGGACTGAGAGCGTTGCCGGGGGTACCCCTCCCACCACGAAAAGCAGCAACTCCTATCGCTTCAGAACGTCCAGTGAAGGAGAAGGAACCATGACTAGGCCTTTTAGGTCAGTGACTGGGAGTCTTATCCACCTGAATACAGCGAGGATGAATTTGGGCCGGCAAGAAGGGAGTGGAAGGTACGTGAGAGCTGCTTTCAGCTCGTCCTACCACACCAGGTCTGCTTCACTGCCCGTTTCCCATTTTCCCTCCACCACGAGTCCCATCAGTGTTTCTTCCAGTAGTGGCCATGGCTCTGCTTCGGACATGTTGACCAGGCCTTCTAGCTCATCCGTTTGTGGTTCCCCGAGCGATGGGGGATTTATCTCCTCTGATGAATACGGCTCCAGCCCTGGAGATTTCAGGTACTTCCGGGTCAGGAGTAATACTCCAGATTCCCTGGGAAACACGCCGCCCATCAGAGAGGAGAACTGTCTGAGCGAGTACATGTCCATGAGTAAGCAGCAGGCAGATGACAGCTCGAGAGACGATTATATGGAGGCTGAAAAGTGTTTCAGGAAAAGAACTTACTCTCTAACAAAACCAACTTCTGTAGCGGTACAGCAGAAGATGACACAAACTACAGCTTTGCTAGATGAAGATTCTGCAGGAAATCACGGACGGTTACTTTACTCTGAAACACCAAAACTGAAAGATAACCACGAACTGGAGTACAATGACAGTAACCTTGATTCCGTGTGTAACCAAAGTAGGAGTAAAGCCAGGGATGATGGGTACATGCCAATGATGCCAGGAGTTGCGTCTTCTCTCTCCAGCAACAGCGATTATTTGCCAATGACTCCTAAAAGCGTGTCTGTTCCGAAACAGATTAACAATTCATGGTCACCATCTCAGGTTGACTCCAGAGGATATATGATGATGTTTCCAAAGGCTAGCTCTTCACCTGTACGAAGTCCTTTAACTGGATTTAATTCTAAAGGAAGTAACGAGAAGATTGTGAACAATGAATATATGGATATGTCACCCGGTAACTCTGCTCCAAAGCACCCCGGTGATTCCAATTACATTCACACCAGTTCTGTTTCCAAAGGTTTTAGTTCCTACTTTTCTTTGCCCCGCAGCTTTAAGGCGTTATCAGGACAAAACGGTGACCACAGTGAGTATGTTCCAATGTCTTCGCCTGGAAAACTTCTGTATGGTGGACCAGAAAACGTAAAAGGGGTCAACAGTGAGGCTCTGGCTAATGGCATCTCCAAATTGCCGGTGGTGAAAGGTTCAGATGAAGGACTTGTGCAGAACAGGGCTGCCAGGCCCACGAGGCTTCCCCTCGGTACGAGAGGGAGTAATACCATCCCCAGGATGTACGACCGCACAGTTCCGCCCGAGCCGGCGAGTCCTGGCGAGTACATAAACATCGACTTCAGCGAGAAGGCGAGCAACACGCCCTACTCCCTGTCTGCGGAGGGCTCGCCCTCCTCCCTGGGCTCGAGCAGCGACCACAGGCAGTCCCCGCTCTCCGACTACATGAGCGTTGACTTGGACGTGCAGTCGCCGAAGGCCGCGAAGGAACTCTCCAGCTCTCTAACGGATATTTCAATTTATGCAAGTTCCAGTATCCCCAGAAACCCCCCCAACCCCGACTACGCCAGGCTCTCCTTCGGCACCGCCTGCGTCAGCGCCGCCGGCGACAGGGCCGAGGACTACACGGAGATGACCTTCAACATGGCGGCCACACCCCCGCGGCAGTTCGCGGCCGAGGCCGAGGCCGGCGTGAAGGTGGACAGCCCGTCCTCCATCGTCAACAGGCTCTGCATCGTCGATCGGTACGCCGGGGGCGGCACCTTCTCCCTTCCTAGCTCGGAACCCCCCATGGCACCGAAGGTCATCCGGGCCGACCCTCAGGGCAGGAGGAGGCACAGTTCTGAAACGTTCTCCTCGGCTGGGACTGTGACCACCTCCGCCTCGTTCTTCACTGATAGTAGCAAAAGACACAGCTCTGCCTCATTTGACAACGTTTGGTTAAAACCCGATGAAAACATTTCTGACGGTCAGGAAAGAAAAATGTCCAGGGATACCTCAACTGGATTTCAGAATGGCTTAAACTACATCGCCCTGAATTTGCGCGATGACCCCATAAGCTGTGAGGCAAGTACCGCAGCGCCAACTTGCCACCTCCAAAATGGTACTTCAGGTTTGGACAGTGGAGCCTACGTGAGCATAGATTTCAGCAGACCCGACGGGCTGAAGTGCAACGCTGCGAGAAAAGGTTTGTAACTTTAAAAGCACTTTCCTTTCATGCTTGCTTACCTGTAGGAATTAGGTTCTCTGCTTAACCCTAAAATGCAGTCTTCACTGTGGGGTAGATGTTTTTTATAATCCCCTATTATCCTATGACTCTAGTACAACCAGTTCTAGTGCAGCATCCTAACGCTGAGCAACAATGGAAGGGGACATGGTCCTGGGCCTGAAGGATTTACCTGCCTCTCCCAGGCAGTTAAAGGTGTTATCAAACTGTCATCTACCTTGGTTTTTTTATGAAATAATTTTAGTGGTGCGAACATTAGTCATATTTTATATTGTGAATTCTTGTCATGGGAGCTCTCTTTTTCCTTTGCTTTTTCTTCTTCCTTTTTTTGTAACTAGATGACTCTTCACTTTTTCTCAGTGAATTTGATACTTTGTAATTTGTGTCATGGGTAGGGGAAGCTGAAAATTACTAAACTGGGTTTAGACATCAAAATTCAGGGCTTAGGTCTGTTTCTTTCAACAAATGTAGGTGAAGTGCATGTTTTAGGTTTTTTCATGTGCAAATCTGCCTACATTTAGCTGAATCTTATATAAACAGTACTGATTTTTTTTCCCCTGGAAGATTTGGTGTGTTCCTTTTCAGCTCTGGTTGGTCTCCAGAGTATCCTAGTGTCCTCTGGAGAAGCCATCTCCTGGTGGCTGAACAGGTTGGGGGTTCTCCTGCAGCCCATACCTTCCACCTTCACCAGTCAGTCGTGCCTGCGGGCTCAGCTGAGCTGTAAGAGGGGTCTGAGGGGTCTGCCTTTGGTGTAGCAGGTGAGGAATGCCTGTAGTAGAGGAAGAGCAGGCTCTGAGGGGTGCTTCAGGTCTGAAACTTGAGAAGGTTGCTGCTGCTGCTTTCACATGGTCAGTGCTCTGACCCAGCATAAGGTAACACAGTTTGAGGGGTGCATAGAAGACAAGGGGGTTGGGGAGGAAGAACATGGGAAAGGGGAGGGACACTCCTCTTCATATGATAAGCTCTCATGGAGGGAGCAAAAAATAGCAATTAGCTTTTTGTGGTGTTTGCCTGTCCTCTGAGCAGCAGTGCTGGGGCACGCGCTGCATTGTCCCGTCACTTTGCAAATAAAATCCTTATTTTGGTGTGAGTGACCCACTGAACTCCTTGCAGTAATTCACTCGGAAGGCTGGAAGACTGGATGTGTAGGAAACGGTGTTTTCCTCTCCTTGCAAATGTATCTGTAGTCAATAATTGATGAGGACTAAGAGGAAATATTTAATCACTGTTGGACATTGATACTTTCCTACTTCTCTGTCAATAGAGAGAGCAGGAAAGGGGCAGGCTGCTGCTGGCTTTTGTATTTCTTATTACAATCTCAAACACTGAAATGATAGGGTTTTTTTTCCAGTGTCACCTTAAAACTAGGTATCTAAAGGCAGAAGGTATTGCAGGAGCTTAGAACTGTGCAGCCTTTTATAGTGGAAGGTATAAGCCTGACTCAGCTCGCATGCCTTTCGCAGTCTGGCAGCACTGCTTGGGGCTGCTCAGAAATGTGTGGTTTGCCTCAGTGGTTTTTTTTCCTCTGCTTTGTTTTGTTGGTTGGAATCAAATTTAGAAGACGCTGAAAGTTGCCAGTCCAAGAAGTGCTTTCTTCCAAAGTTAGTCTTTCAGCACTTCAGAGATTTGTCTGCTAAGTCAAAGGCACACTGACTGCTGTAGCAGATTTGTGTGTGTTGGTTTTTTTTTAATTAAAAAAAACCCCCAAAGAAACAGAATTCCTACTTGATCTTATCCCCTCATATGACTAAAAACTGTGTTATAAAGTAAAAATTCTTACAAAATGGAGAGCAGTAGAGCAGAGATGATTTCCTTTCAGCTGTACTGTGCATACTGCATTTAAAAATATTTTTCAGGGGCTAATGTGTTTAGAAATGGTATTTGTTAAACATTCTGCTTACTGCTGCTACAGCAAAATATGTACAGCCCTGTGCTTGGGGTTTTTCCCTTGTCTCTTGCAAGTTTCGGAGGGGCAAGAGATTTACAGCTGCTGGTTTTCACTGTGAATTGCAGTTTTGTGGAACTGAAACATGCGTTCAAATGAAGTGAAAGAAACTCTGTGCATAAAACCAGGGGCTTTGGCAGGAAGTAAAGCATGAGAATAGTAAGAGCTTGGGTTGGTGGTTTCTTTCTAGTCCTAAAATGAAAGACAAAATTATAAAACTCTGCTCCAGAACCAGGCCTAACAATTTTCTATAAAGGCACCATGAAGTATTTGTGGGATACAGTAGGAGGGCAGGTGGGGTGTGGACGTCGCTTGGAGGTGGTGAACAGATTTTGGAACAGTCCAGGCTAAGAGCAGCTTGCCCAGCTGGACTGTGGTGGTGTCAACTGGTGGCATGTGGCTGTTCCTTAGTAATGACTTAAAATTGTTGCTTATAAAGAGAGCAGTTTTCATTCACCTACTGAAGTGTGTCTCTGAGCTGTAGTGAGCGTATCTTTAGAAGTCTGTATTCTTTTAATAGTTTATCAGTTTCTACTGCATTAAAGCTTTTATTTTAATATTTTAAAAGTTTTTCTGTAATCCAGAAAAACACATTCACATTCCATTTTGAGTAGTGAAAATGAAGCTGCATGCTGAAGATGTGTAGTGTGCCTGTGTGTAATTGATATTTTTAATACTTTTGGAGACTTTGAGCAAAACTGAGTCCTGTCTTGTCTTTCCTTCCCTTCTACATGCCACTCTTTGGGTCTGTTTGCCTGAAAAATGCTCTGTGGTTAAATCCATTCTCAAGGAAAATATTTAGCAGATGCATTTACCCATTACTTCCTAGAAAGGAACTATTCCATATCTATTAAATCCTGCCAGGTAGAGAACTTTGTTTTGTCTCCCTAAACTGCAGTTTTACTGGAAGGAAAACACTTCCCAGCTTCAGACTGTTTGCTTTTTTGTTTTGTTTTTGTTTGCTTAAATGGAATATTGTGTTCTGTGACTCAGCTGCATTCTCTGAACTGCTGAGGGTGGTGGAGTGATTTCCAGTGCATTGCTGCCCCCTCATTGTAATTCCCAAACTACTTCTGGTTCAGGTTCACTGATGTGAATCAAACTTTTATTTTTTTTTTTTTCCCCCCCCTTCTCCATTCATGACATGTTTGGAGGAGGGGAGGGCACTAACTTGACATGGTAAATATGCCTGACTTGTTATTAAACCTTTATTTTAGATTTAGGCAAAACTGAGCTCTGGTTTTATGTTGATAATGATGATGAATATAAGGTTTTGACTTCTAATGCTTGCAGTTTAAGGAGGTCATTAGGAAAACAGTTTCATCACAAAATAGTTACACAATATTGAAGCAAGCGGTTTGCAGTTTTGATTACATGAATCTGAGTCATGAAATTTTGTGCTAGGAGTACAGAACACTAAAGCTACTTCAAACAGGGCTTAGCTAATGTATACCTTGTTATTGGACCTTGTAGAAACTGAGGAGGATAATGAGAGCGGGGCGGTAGTAAACTGCATAATCGGTCCTGGAGAGCACAGGTTTCTTCAGCCTTAATTAGAAATATTAACTCTGCAAAGATAGCCTGGACTCCAAACCAGACTGCTTAGAGTAAATGTCCTGTTCAGCTTAATATCAATCCACCTACTTTACACTCACTCTTTAATCTTATCTCTACCTGATATTCTAACACTAGGCTAAGATATTATTTCAGAACTTCTCTAAAATGCAGGATTATAGTTTAAATGTTCCTCACCTTTTTAATCTCCTCTTGTGCTAGACTGGGCAGAGTGTTGTGTAGACTTTGGGGAGCTGGGAGGAAGGAAAACAAGTGTCCCAAAGTTGCTGTGAAGCAAAACTAGTGTCCCAAATTGTCCAGATCCTTTATGGTAACTTTCAAATTTCAGATGCAAGGTCTTACAGAATAAGATGAACAATATATGCTTTGAGAAATTCAGAAGCTGCAGTTTTAGCTATTACTAATATAGTAAATTACAGTTTACAGGATACCAGGCAAATAACTGCCCCTTTTGGGTTTCAGACTAGTGGTTTTTAAAAGTTTGCTTCAAACTGAGGCTCTTTTGTATTGGCAGAATACTGAAGGCATGGGCTCATTTAAAAATAACTTGAATAACCCTCCTGAAGCACATCTGGACACTGCTATGTAGCCTACATCTGTAAAGTAATGCTGGGATAATAATTCTTAAAAACAAAAAAAAACAAACAGAAAAAAACACCAACCATGTTACTCTTGCTGTAACAGATGCCACTTCAACAGTCTGGAGTGACTTACAGCTATGCTTAAAAATACCCAGGGTAACTTTCTCAAGTAGTATCTGAGCTGCTGAAGGCAGAACAGATTTTTGCTGTGCAGTGTGGGAGTGAGCTAATTATTACATCTTTGACCAAGAATCAGTTGGGTTTTACTTGTGCTTGGGTGAGAAAAATCTGACAGGACTGATCGCTTGCCACCGAGAGTGAGCTCTCATAATCTGTGTTGAAATACTTTTGGAAATCAGCTTTCCAGACTTTAAATCCATAGTTGCAGTCGATGGTGACATGTGTCTTTTTTGAAGACTAAAAGGTTTTGCTTGTAGCTGTTTGCAGCCACTGCTGCAGGATGTGGAGACTTCTGGGAGTTATCTGGTACTGATTCAAACTGCCTTTTTTAAAGTCTTTTGCTGAAATCTCAAATGCATTATTATTATTACCCTTTTAGTTTTCCCTCTAAAACTTCACATTTTCCTTTCCTCCCTTGATGTGTGAGGGCTCCTTTGTCCCCCCAGCTGCTTGTGGGGATAGGCTGGAGGAGTAGGAGGTGAGCAGCACTTACTGCTTCCAGTAGCTGTGTTCCAGCCTGGAATTATTGGGGTGCTTTGTCACGAGGTATTTCTTTGGGTTTTTTGTATGTCCAGTGGCATGTTAGTAGTAGGTAGAGGTTTGGTTGGTGTGTGATTTTTTTTTATTTTTTTTTTTTTCTCCTCTGCATATGCTCTTGTTTTATGAAAGGATCTTTACTA